CTTTTAGTCTGACATGTTTGGTTTTTTTTGCTCATTCTTATATATCTCAACAAATTCATTTAAAGTTCCACTTGGTGTATGACAGCAAGGTAACGCGAATGTTCAGTTTAAGAAATATTTTGAAGTCATTTTTGAGTATCTGCTTTGGGATTTAATGTAGAAGTTTTAAAATAAAACAAATCGCATTTGTGATTATTCAACCCTATTTAGAAATACAGCTAGAAACATAAGGTGAACAGCTGGTAATAATTACGTCATAATATGTCTTTAACAAATATGTTTTTCTCCCTCTTTTAGTTGTATCAAAGAGGTTTAATTCTTGAGAGTAAATAAGCAAATAGAAAAACAGCGATACAATGTGTGCTTGGTGATATTAAGTACCATTGGAATGAAACAGGAATAGAGTTATATTTCCTGTTTAAAGTAGTTCTGACGTTCATGCGCCAATATGAAATCCTTCCAAAGGGGCACGAGTGGCTATTCGGTTTGTCTCGTAGGAACACCAGTTGTCATGAATGGGAAAAGTACTACCCTGTGTCCTCCTTCCCATATGGAATAATATATCTGTGTCTTTATGTTGCTGACGATCTACAACGTTACAGTGCGAAACAACTTCAAACCTAGCTCGTGATGAAAGCATTTTTAGCTGACATCTGCACTGATACAGGTCAAAGACTGCGTGGAACCCACACGCACGGGAATGGGCCTGAGATACCACATAATTGGGTTCAGCAGAATTCTGGCATGTCCAAGGGATGTAACTCTGTTCAGCGAATCGCGGTGCTTCACACGATTGGTCCACCCACGGCCAATCAAAACTACTGACAGTAATAACAAAGTTTGCAAGTGGAGAGTCTTTGCAAGTCTTTTGACGATCTGGTTGTCTGTTGGCAATCTGAAATGTTTTATTGCGTAACGGCAACTATGACAGTAATTTCAGTATCTCCCTTGCACAACAAATTTGAACCAACAAACAGCAGATCTTTACAGGTGAAATAGCATAATCCTTCACTTGAAAAAGTGGTGCCTTCGACTGCTCGGTAAGTCAGTCTGTCAGTTCCTTCATTAAGAATATACTTTAGAATAGGATTTGGTAACACCTTTTACTGTGATCCTCACTAATATTGAAAAACTGTATTGATAACAAGTTCTCTATTTCGTCAGTGCGACGTTTCCGTACAAATTCTTTCAACTTAACTGTGAAACATTACTGCTAGACAATGGTAAAAGAATCTGTATTGGAAGTCAGATGAAACATGTTGTTATCCATAACGTGTGCCTACATTGTACTTCCCACCTTCAGAAATGCCACTCAAAGAAGAGATCTCCACAGAATTCAATACACTTGGTCGAGGTTTAGGTTTAGAATTCTTGACACATCCACATTGTTACATGTAATCAATGTTCATTTCCCCTTTCATGTCTTGGCTATTTGCCTCTCCCCACATTCTGTCCACGCCAAGTCCCTTCCATACATCATTACCCACTGAACTGTATCACCATTCTCTTAGAATGAATTCCATGGACCTATTTTCAAACACATTCTAAAATCAAATTACATTATTCTTTAAAGACTGCAGCAACTCGTCTTATCACCTGCTGTCATAAATAGAACTGTGGACACATGTAATGATGTCTCACGGACACGTCTCCATAATTGTGGGCAGGAGACACATCTTAACGAAACATTCACTGGAAACCAGGCAACTGGACAGATATAAAGATCAGGCTCAATGAAACTAGAACCTAGGATTGATTGTGGGTCCATGTTAACTCTCTTTCCGGTGAGTATTTTAGTTGACTGTTGAATCCCAACATGTGACCTGGATAAGATCTATGCAAAGTTAGCGACAAGGAAAATCACTTTTGAAAGGAAGTTTTGAAGTCTTGTCTCTGGCCGAGCGGTTGATATGGTTGAGTTGTTGGGTGGCCGAGTTCCTGGCTGGTTGAGTTGGTATGTGGGTGACTGAGTGGTTGAGTAGTTGGATGGTTGAGTGAGTGGTTGGTTGAGTCAGTGTGTGTGTGGTTGAATGGTTAACTAGTTGGATGGTTGACTAAGTGATTGTTGGTTGAATGGTTGGTTGGGTGATTGACTGGTGTAAAATCAAGGTTGAACTGCTTTGAACCCATGAAAATACTTTTCAGGCATACCGAAAACAGCTGTATTGATCATGATTAAAACAACATGCAACAACTGTTCCTTCTGTGTGGCAGTGGATGACAAATAGTAGAAGGCCAGTGATATGTTTGGTAAATTTCGTCATTTATTTGCTCAGTCAAAATATACCTTCGACAGTGCCATTCACATATCTTTTAAACTGCAGTCAATTTGTAAGGACCCATGGAGACTTGGATCAGCAACCCAGCAACATAATTTGTGATGAGGCGATTAACGGACCAGGTGTTCAGGAGCGGCATGGAGCGATGCTCACAATGTCAGTCACTGGATTATCTGGTCCAGTCACATAGCATCTCTGACACATGGACAGTCGATGGATAGAGGTTAAATGTAATGTTCACTTCGCAGTTGCAACGTCACACTGTCCCTCTAACACATGGATAGTCGATGGATAGAGGTTAAATGTAATGTTCATTTCACAGTTGTAACGTCACACTGTCCGTCTTACACATGGATAGTCGGTGGATAGAGGTTAAATGTAATATTCACTTCACAGTTGCAACGTCACACTGTCCCTCTAACACATGGATAGTCGGTGGATAGAGGTTAAATGTAATGTTCACTTCACAGTTGCAACGTCACAATGTCCGACTTACACATGGATAGTCGGTGGATAGAGGTTAAATGTAATGTTCACTTCGCAGTTGCAACGTCACACTGTCCCTCTAACACATGGATAGTCGATGGATAGAGGTTAAATGTAATGTTCATTTCACAGTTGTAACGTCACACTGTCCGTCTTACACATGGATAGTCGGTGGATAGAGGTTAAATGTAATGTTCACTTCACAGTTGCAACGTCACAATGTCCGACTTACACATAGATAGTCGGTGGATAGAGGTTAAATGTAATATTCACATTCATTGCAACGCGACACTATCCCTCTTACACATCGATAGTTGCTGGATAGAGGTTAAGTCATACTGTCCCTTTATCATAGTCAAGTAATGTCTACACTGCGCCTAAATGGCTGCAAAAGTTGTATGTTCCCCAAGGGAGTTGAGATTGAAAAATACGATATGCCATTGAGATTGACATCCAATGATCAAGGGAAAAACAAAGTACCTTTGAGCAGCTGAGCTGGATATTGGCGCTATACAAAGATTAGTATGTTACTGAATCTTGAATCTTGAGGATACCCAGACCGAACCGGGTTTTACGGCTCCTAATAAACACAGCTCTGCACAACGTACTCCCATACCAAGATCACAGGGATACACGTGACCCTGATGGCCCTGTCATCCGTTCACCCTATAGCAAACGGTGATAAGGAACACAATTTCTGCTCCCGATCCCAATAATAGATACAAAACACTGCAAGATTGCACTTATAAACATGGAAACATTTTTTTCTGTGTAACTACTCGCAGACACACTTTGGGAACAGAGGAATGCCTTTGACAGGCTATTGAGAATAGCCGTTTAACAGGAAGTACTTGATCTCGTTTATTGGAAACGCGTTGATGTAGTACATGTAATTGGAAACGCGTTGATCGAGAAGTAGTAAATCATATCACACGGAACACAAATCTTGTACATTCATCTTCACACACACAGAAGTCTCAGTTACTGCTGGAGAAAGCAGTACTAGTACTACCCACATGGAATTAAACATTTTCTCCGGGCTGCTCGAAATGGCGAGAAAGTTTGTATTTACATAGACTAATCCAAGTAAATATGAATATCTATAACGATGCAAAATAATTCAAGGTACAAAGAACAGGCTTGGAATCCCACATGGAGGTAAAGGTGATTAGCACTGAAGCAAATGTCACATACGCGGAACTGTTCACAATGACAGAATATCAGTCCATCTTGAGAAACCCTAATATACAAATGGATTAATTTAGAAATATAAGTTATTTCACAAATAGTGTAGTAGCCCTAAGTACACATTATGCTTTGCATTCTAAGTTTAAGCTAAAGATGAGATACACCGATACCAGTAAGTGTGTCTTTATTGATTCAGCACTGCTTCACATACCTTTATCTAACCTCACACATAAATGTCGTTTTCCGACTGGCTGAGCGCTCTCCTATTATTTTCAATGTACTCCGCTTACAAACGAACAAGGGGCGGTAAGTTAGCCTAGTGGTTAAAGCGTACATATATTAATATACCACAATAAAAATTATTCTAACTTGTATACGGTACACGAAGTTCAAAGGGCATTCAAGTGATACTAACTAGCACTAAATATCACTTTTCCCCAGTCTCAAAGTATATTATAATTCCTCGGTTATAAAATAGATTACTCAGACACACAGTATACAAGATATACTCAGTCACACTGTACATTAGATATACTCAGTCATACAGTATATTAGATATACTCAGTCACACTGTACATTAGATAAACTCAGTCACACTGTACATTAGATATACCCAGTCACACTGTACATTAGATATACCCAGTCACACTGTACATTAGATATACCCAGTCACACTGTACATTAGATATACTCAGTCACACAGTACATTAGATATACTCAGTCACACAGTACATTAGATATACTCAGTCACACTGTACATTAGATATACTCAGCCATACAGTATATTAGATATACTCAGACACTGTACAATATATATACTCAGTCACACTGTACATAAGATATACTCAGTCATACGGTATATTAGATATACTCAGTCACACAGTACATTAGATATAATCAGTCACACTGTACATTAGATATACTCAACCATACAGTATATTAGATATACTCAGACACTGTACATTAGATATACTCAGTCACACTGTACTTAGATATACTCAGTCACACTGTACATTAGATATACTCAGACACACTGTATGTTAGATATACTGAGACACACTGTATATTAGATATACTCAGTCACACTGTACATTAGATGTACTCAGACACAGTATATTAGATAGATATAGTTACTCACACAGTATATTAGATATACTTAGTCACGCTATACATGAGATATACTCATTTACACTATACAGTCAGAAATACTCATTCACACTATATATTAGGTATACTCAGACACAAAGTACATTACATGTGATGATTTGTCAGCACCACTTCAGTCAATCTGCAGTCAGGAGGTCGTTGTAAATGTAGTTAATTGGAATACTTACAGATGCAATGATCACTTAAGAAAGAATCAAAGGTCTATACTGTGTTACTGAAACTGAATACCTTGATTTCACCTGAACGGTAATTACAAATATAAACACGACCACATCCATCTACACAAACACCGCGAGGTAACGAGACACCATCATCTGCAGTGAGTATGTTTCTGACAAACTGCCCTGACTCAGTAAGATGAACAACAGTGTGTTGAGTGAAGTCAGTAACCAGGATGTCACCAGTGCTGGTACTTGTGATACCATGTGGATATCCCAGTGTTGTGTGTCCTGTTGTAGGGTAAGTGAACACAACGTCCCTTTCAGCTGTCAGGCACAGGACACGCTTCGAACCGCCATCCGACACAAGGATGTTTCCTGTTCTTGTTGTACAAAGAAACCCAGGAGTATGTATGATTTCCTTTCCGCTACCTACAGCGTTCATCGACTTTATGACGTTTCCTCTCATGTCCAGAATATCCACACATCTATCAGAACCTGCTGCTAATGTTGATGGTGTCAGAGACGTTATACCCCAGTACTGTTTGCTGGTCGTGATTGTCGACAGCAGCATCAGGTCAGGGTTCACTTCAACTGTTACAATCTGCCTGTTATGCATCACAGTGACAGCCACCTGGTTGTGTTTCAGCCTTGATATACCCCACGGTCTACTTCCCAGTTGGAGCTTGCTGTGATGTCGCTGTTTGTTCTTGGTGTAGAAGGATTTCACACTCTTGTTGTTGCAGTCTGTTACAACCACTGTGTCTGTACCATTCACCGTCAACACTGTTACGTCAGCAGGGTATACATTAATCTGATCTCCTGCTACCTTAACGCTAATGGTGTCCTGTAACACAGGAGCAGCCTTCAGGTCCAGCACGTTACTGGTGTCTTGAGATACAGGTGTTGCCTCCAAGTTCACCATACCGTCATACTGGACATCTATCTCCCCCAGCTGTAGATCGTCCAGAGCTCTACTCAGCATGTCTTCGTTCTGTTTGAACATGATCCTGGCTATTCTCCTCCTCTTCTTCAAGTCTACGTCTCCGATAGCATCCACATCACCGGCCTCACATCCCTGATACATCTCATACACGTCCATGTCACACTCGGATTGTAGAATCTGGTCTATCAGCTCAGTCTGTTGTCGGTACATCTGTACTGATATTTCACTCGACTTTAGGTCGGCAGTCAGTTGTTCAAAGTGCTTTTCAGAAACTTCTTTCAGTTCATCTAGAAGTTTAATTTCCATGAGAGTTATCTTCCCTCTCGCGTTGCTACCAAAAGACTTGATGTCATGTTCCATTCTTGCATATCGTTCTTTTTCAGAAACGACGTTCACTTTAACAGCATCAACTTTTGCTTCCATTTGGATTTGCTTCTCCAAAATAGTTTCCTTCTTATTCAACAGCTGAGACTTTAATGCAGGTAATTCCGACTCCAGTGTGACGACTGACTCACATTTCCGGTGATAGATAACACAACAGGTGTGACAGGTGACTTTCTTGCAATCTTTGCACAGGAATTTGATGTTTTCATCCTTGTGCTCTTTACACTTGATGTTTCGTTTCCTGGGGATAATGGCCTCACTAGTCAGGGCAGTTGTATCGTGATGACGAGTGGATGAGATGCGACTGTGCACCCTAGCACATACATCACACAGGGCGTCATCGCATACCGAGCACCACACAGTCGCTGGAGTTGTCTCCCCTTCGCGATGACAGCACGTGCAGTTCTTTTTATCTGTACAAAAAAAACAAGGTTGAATGGAAAGCATTCAGCATCGTATCATCGAGTGTTTGTTCTCACGTCTAGCTATTTAAGGGCGGTAGGCTAGCCTTGTAGTCAAAGCGTTCGATCGTCACGCCGAAAAACCGGTTTCGATTTCCAAGATGGGCACAATGTGTGACACCTATTTCTGGTTTCCTCGCCGTGATATTGCTGTAATATTGCCAAAGGCGGCATAAAACCAAACTCACTCACTCTATCTGTATACATTATTGCACAATTTTTGGTGGTTTATGAATTGTTGTTACTAGTAATTTTAGTGTAAGCTATAGTTGGCATGAAATGCATGTGGACCCGTTTTTTTTGTAAATATCTCTTCATCCAATGACCCAATCGATCTCAAACTGGGCAAGTGGATGTTTTGTCAGACAACCTAATCACATTGTAAATCACCCATTTTATGCATTTGTATTAAAGAATCTGTCTATGTAACTGTCAACAAAATAAACAGCAGAACGCAGACTGCTTGCAGAGGGAGGGAGTCAATGACCTGTAACAGCGGCAGTGTTGAGTCATAAAGGTAAATGCACGTGCAGTTCATGATAATTACCTGTGCACTGCACAGTGATAGACCGTTTGGATCATTCACATTGACTACTTCTAGCTGTCACCATGCCCAGTTTGAGATCGATTGGATCATTGGATGAAGAGATATTTACAAAAAACCGGGTCCACATGCATTTCATGCCAAACTATACCTCACAACACGATATATAAAACAAAGATATCTGCAAGACTGACCTCAGATTTCGGGAACTTGAATGACTAGTTTGACATAATGAAAAATGAGGTATCACTTGAACCCTAAATACGCTACATTTTAACTTCAACCAAGATATTTGGAAAACAGCCATGCAGGACCAATACATTCATGAGTATTGTGGGGGTACAAATTGAAATTTGTATCAGTAAATAATGAATGTATTTGCAATTACATGTAGATTTAGATAAGTCATTTTCACATTGAGTAAGGGAGTGTGTTGCCTTCACAAAGGTTAAGAGTCGAAAATGGCACGGCTACAAACTTTATACGACGACCACAGACGAATATTTAACAGATTTTACACGTGTCTATCCTTCCTTTCTTTTGAGTGAGGTGCAAGACACATCCACTAGACCACCGTGCATTGCAGTACCAGTTTACCATTGATCCTTACCTTTACATCCAGGGCCAAATGAGTCTAGCAGTCCTTGGATGACAAAGCTCGGTTTGACGTCATCCGCCCACTCATCTATTGGTCTCTCGGTGGCACTCACTTTCGTCATCTTGCTGCAGACAGGACACAGCAGAGACTTGGCATTGATAGCTTGTGGTTTGGTTTTGGTGTAGTTGACGACACATTTCCGACAGAATGTGTGATAACAGACAAGGGTGCACGGATTGTCAAATACTTCTGTACATATGGTGCATGTGAAAAAATGTTCCTCCAGTTTCTGAGACGTCGCCATCTGCAAAATGAAGATGCATTAAATCTACAATGTTATTACGCATTGCATGCTGCCGGGACTATTTGCACTAGGCAATGTGGCCAAAGTAACGGTTACGTGTAATAGCATTTATATAAAATAAATGATATGTTGGTTGAAGTTATTTGGACCCTTTTTCATAACCCTTTGTTCATCTTCTAAAAATCAAATAAAACAGACAATCATAAATGAAATGTATTCATACGCGTGACCCCTGTTATGACGGCGTAATGCACTCGTTCTGTAAGTTGAATTCTGATATATTTGCTAGTGTTGGATGGATAATAAATGAATACTTAACGAATGAATAATGTATTATACGGGACACCATTTAGTATTCTCTCTCTATATATGTAAACGATAGTAAGTGTTCATTTCAAATTTTTGAACATACCAGCGCAACCACTGCCGACAAGCCTCACAGATGTATGTGCGTGCGTGCAAGTGTGTGTGTATGTGTTCTGAAGAAAGACTGAACATTCTAAGATCAAGGTCTTCTACAATCAATATTGTGTGTGCCCACTCTGGGAGACAACAACAGCCTGTTGGGGTGTCGTCTTGTGCATATACCCCAGGTCACTAATCAGTCAAAGTTAAGCAATGTTGTACACAGAGAGTCCTTGGATGGTTGACAGGTTTGTTTTCAGCTTGCGTGATCTCGGTACTTGGATGAAGTGACGAAAATGAAACACATTTGTTTCTGCCATTGTGTAAACTTGGTGTCCAAACAATCACGATGCTTCTGCCAACTACGTGGACGTCCAGATTTCGTTTGACGCAAAACGTGAATGAAGACGACAACACACCCGCCATTTACACCAAGAAGCAACAATGACTCGTGCACTTGGCACATAAAGCGCTGACTTCGATGTCAGCGCTCATTTGCATAACGAAAGTAGCTAGGCTGGTGTCAACTGTTTGCGCCAACAAACGCGCCTCCAGCTATGAATATTTACTGTCTAAATATATTATTAAATGTAGAAATGACAGCCCTAATAGTTTTCCATCTTGAGTCAATGTACCGTTATGTCCACAGACCGAGTCACCTGAGATTAGGCTGTACATATCGATATACCCGTACATAGTGAAAGTAGACCACGGAGCACAGAGGGAAGGACTCGAATTCTAAGACCATTATCACCGTATTTCTTCACACCTTGTCGTTTGATCACTGCGTAATTACGTCGCTATAAACGGCTACTGGTCAGCAACGACACACAACACGACGTAAATACACCCTCCGAGAAGACACGAGGGGTCAGGGCTCACGTGTCAAGTATACAACACGATAAAGCACATATACTTCTGTCATTGCCTACGTTCATTTATCTCTCAGTCATTTCCTCCCAATGTACGACTTTTGAAACTAATTTGACATATATTTTTGCTAGTCTGTCTCACAGTCCCTGAACCACATTATTTTGCCTACAGCCTAGCCTTCCCTGCAGTGCTAAAGCCCTAATTGAAGCAAGTCTAGATTTCCCCAGGTTCTGAATCTCTGGTCTCCCTTTTTAATTTATAATAGGTTTGTTTGTTACTATCAAAATTATATCTATTCAGAGTCTAAGCATTAGTCTATTTTTTTCCAAAATGTACACTTTGATACGTTTACTTTTAATGATATACTTTGTCTTTAGTTAGTCTTCTTATCAAAGCCTTTCGTATCACCAGAGTGCATGTACGTTTATTGTCGCCTATATAATGTACTGACAAAGATTGCATAACTCATATCGATAACGAAAGTAGGCTGTAAGAGATTGCCCAACAAATGCAGTCCCACTTGACACTATACACCCATACTGTCTCAAAACTGTATTATGTGTAGATATGATAGGCATAGTAATTAACTGACGTCAGTGCATCGGTAAGTCCACACACGAACTTGTGTGAGATGAGGGTAGTCGCTTCCCAGTACATAACGAAAGTAGAAACGTCAACACAGCTGTGGGAAGGCCACACACAGGAAACATAACACCATGGCTGAATTACCACACACAGGAAACATAGCACCATGGCTGAATTACATCACACAGGGAACATAGCACCATGGCTGAATTACCACACACAGAAAACATAACACCATGGCTGAATTACCAATCACAGGAAACATAACACCATGGCTGAATTACAACACACGGGAAGCATAACACCATGGTTGCATTACCTCACACAGGAAACATAACACCATGGGTGCATTACCAAACACAGGAAACATACAACTATTGCTGAATTACCACACGCAGGAAACATAACACCATGGTTGAATTAGCACACACAGGAAACAGACCACCATGGCTGAATTACCACACAGCAAACATCGCACCATGGCTGAATTACCACACTCAGGAAACAGACCACCAGGGCTGAATTACCACGCACAGGAAACATAGCACCATGGCTGAATTACCACACACAGGAAACATAACACCATTGCTAAAGTACCAAAAACAGGAAACATAACACCATGGTTGAATTACCACACACAGGAAACATAACACCATGGCTGAATTACCACACACAGGAAACATAACACCTTGGTTGAATTACCACACACAGGAAACTTAACACCATTCCTGAATTACAACACGCGAGAAACATAACACCATTGTGTGCATTACCTCACACAGGAAACATAACAGCGTATGGCTGAATTACCATGGCTGAATTACCACACACATAACACCATGGCTGAAGGAAACATAACACCATGCCTGAATTACCACAGGAAACATAACACCATGGCTGAACCACACATGGCTGAATTACCACACACAGTAAACATAGCACCATGGGTGCATTACCACACACAGGAAACATAACACCATGGCTGAATTACCACACACAGGAAACATAACACCCTGTCTGAATTACCACACACAGGAAACATAGCACCATGTCTGAATTACCACACACAGGAAACATAACACCATGGGTGCATTACCACACACAGGAAACATAACACCTTGGCTGAATTACCACATACAGGAAACATAACACCATGGCTGAATTACCACACACATTAAACTGACAACCATGGCTGAATTACTACACACAGGAAACATAACACCACGGGTGTATTACCACACACAGGAAACATAACACCGTGGGTGAATTACAACACACAGGAAACATAACACCATGGCTGAATTACCACACTCAGGAAACAGACCACCATTGCTGAATTACACACACGGGAAACATAGCACCATGGCTGAATTACCACACACAGGAAACATAACAACATGGCTGAAATAGTAGACAATTACCACCGTATTACTTCACACCTTGTCCATCAATCACAGAGTAACGAATTGACTATAACCCGACATTGGAAGATTTGTAGTGTAAGTGAAGTCTGGCAAATATCCCCAACACGCCCACTTACCTTCACGTGCTCGTTCCATACAGGTGATGTAGATAGAGATTGTACCACGTGACGAATATCTGCTGATTAGTGACAGGGGTCGGAGGCATCACGGGAATAACACGATAACGCACACACAGTTTCTTCGCACCTCTTTCATTCTGCGTGTCGTGTCTTTCGATTATAGGATCATACAAACTGATTTCAAAACATTCTCTGGCCGTCATGCCAGAGGTCGGGTTCGGAGCTCAACATGGTTACAATGTGCGAAGCTAATTTCTGCTGTGTACAGAAGTGATCTGTTTGTGGTGCCTGATATCTGTGTCTGCCTCTTTATCTTGTTGACGATTCAGTTGGTGGTGATCTATAGCCCGTTTATATATTGTAGTGTTGTCTATAGTTATATTTTTCATGATATCGTACTAGTTTTAAATTTTAGAGCTATGGTACACTAGTAGTTTTACTGTCCTTCGATTGCAGATTTTTATGTTCTAAATTTATTGATTTTATTGTTGATATAAATTATATTTTTCTCGTCACGAAATGGCTGAATTATTGCCGAACTTAGCTCACTCTTGTTGACGATCTGCAATATGACAGAGCGAAACGAATGTTTTAGTTGATATCTGCACTGATACAGGTCCAAGACTGGGTGAAACCCACACGTACGGGAATGGTGCTGAAATACCTCATAATTGGATACAGCAGAATCCTGGCATGCCCAAGGGATGCAACTCTGCGAATAGCGGTGCTTCACATGATTGGTCCACCCACGGCGAATCAAAACTTTTAACAAAGTGTGCAAGTGGAGAATGTCTTTGGGCAATTTGATTCTTTGTTGCCAACAAAAATGTTTCTTTTGTTTTTATTGTGTGTGTTTTTGTGTGTAATGGCAACTATGACAGTAATTTCACTGTCTGCCTTGAACCACAAATTTAAACCAACAAACACGGGGTTTCAGTCGACTATGTACTCTGCAGAGTTGTGTCCCATTGGCACACCAGATGCTAGAGATTGTGGGTTCGAATCTCACTTTTCCCCAGTTAAGTTTCTATATGTGTCAGTGCCATACATGTGTTCATGGGTTTCACAAAAACATAAATGTCAGAGATCTACATTACCTCGGGCTTTCCTGCAACTACGTCATAACTATAACTAGATTACTGTTGAAACAACCGTAACACCAAACCTCACTCACTCTCTGACCAAAATACATTGTACATGAACATGAAGGGAGGATTCAGAATTACTTTCTCAGATCAGATTTATATCATCAAATTGAAATATTAATCTTTTTTTCTTTCCCAAAGATGGTACGAGGAATAAATTCCTTTTGGAAATCGAGTTATTTGACATATTTTGTGTAATTTCTTTGCCTGAGAAAAACACCTTTTCTTTGAGATATATCCAAGACAGAAATACCTTTGTATTATCACATGTTGATTTACTTTGGTCATAGCTATCCATCATGAAAACTATCCCTGCCCGACGGCAACGTGATCATAAACCTTAGTAACACAAAATGGTCGAATGTACATATATTACACGCATCCATAATTGACACACGCCATGCATTCGCATGCTTAGCAGCCATTATCACAGCGCGTACATTCTACACACGGGACAACTTGCAAAGAATTCATATGTGAATAAAATGAGAATACAACGTTTGGTGTGAATACTTTACTGCCTAAACCAGTTTAGCTAAGCATAATGTTAACATTTTTAAAATGCTAATATTAATGACTGTTTAATAAACGTTTTTAGCCTAGAACAGTAGCTTAACTTCATCACTAATACTTTATAACCTGACAACTTTATAAACCATTTGTACAACCATATCTAAACTAACCTGGTGACAACTCTGGTTTGGCCTCACATATTCGGCACTCAGAACGCAATTACAACAACAAGACACCACGAGGTATCATCTTATTGAAACAGATGATCTAATCAGCCAATCAAAATCCTCAATATTATCACAAAGATTCCCACTAACATGAAATGCACGTGATATGCATATTCATCAACCTGTCCTACACAGACAACAGGTAAAGAGAATACCATGAATGATACTGTTACCCACTAAACTGTATAACACAATAAAAAGGAAATGTTTCCGTAAAACGTTTTTATTGACTTTTAAATAAACAAACTACAATGTAAAAATACGTGAAAACGTCACTGCTGCATTAAGGATCCACCAATACCTGGGCTTCTCATAGATCATACAGATTTTGTTATTTCAACGAAGCTGATTATGTTTTCTAAAGTATCAAACAGTACTTAAAAAGATTTGGGTGTATTAAGTGAAGATCGTAAGCTGCAGGGATGTAATAACCATTATCTCTGCTGACTGTCGGGTTGGGTCGTTTGATGTTGACTGTCTAGGTGAGTTTTCTTATCTTGCAGTGTGGCCGGTTGGCTTCCTGAATGGGGTTGGGTGTGTTCTGAAATAGCTGACTTGGAGTGTCTGGAGGGTTCAGGATTACTTTAGTAGATCAGATTTTGATAATTAACTATAATACTTACTTTGAATCGTTTTAAAATGTCCCTTCGATGGTCAAGTTATTTGATATATTTTGTCTATTTTCTATGACTGAGAAAAATATATTTCCATGATATATCCCAAACAGGAATGTTAATTTCCGCTGTATTCAAATTAACTTTGGTCAAAATTAGATCGTTAAAAATGTCTAAAGCACCCGAGTGTTAAATGTTGATTGTACATAACACGTCATCATTGCTAGTACATCTAACATCTTTGTTCATCATGCTTATCAACAAAGAACGTCATTCTTCATCATTCCATCAATCACACCACTCGGTAAATCCATCTCATCATGGACAGACACTGACGTTACCATGTGAGGTATTTTTGAAAGACGATGGATGACATTTGACGCATCTCACCAGTAAAAATACTAAAGTTGTACACATTGTGTGTTCCAAGAGGATCCACAGTGGAGATAACACGCGCCTTGACTTAACCTGCGATATCAACATAATTGTTTACACAAGTATTATTGATTAATCAATTCATTACCAAGGCAACAAACTATAATACAAATTAGAATCGAAAAATGTCTCAGATCATCACTGTGGAGTAACCACGGATCTATAATTCTACCACATACATCTGTTTGATACCAGTTATAACAATGATTTCTCACTGACAGGTGTGAAAGAAAGAAGGTTCGTTTGTTGTGCTGGAAAATATACCTTAGACTCACTACAATGATATATGCTAGGATACAGCTTCCATAATATCTTTGGTTTACGTATGTTTACTTCTACATTGTTACTAAACAGACACGTAAATCCTCTTGATATTTGCTTGTTGGGAGTCTCTTGATATCATTATTTCTACTTTTAGCAAAACCTTTGTGTTCGCTATACAATGGACTTCAGAAATGCCATTGTAGTCTTCTCGCAATGACATAAACAAAACGCAAAAAGCTAAAGAAACTTCGACAATACGACAGGCTGCGTTATGTGCCACACTCTGATGTTTTACGCTGCGTTTTATAATGCCAAAGGAGTCGTTGTGGGATTCTGTGTAAACAGTGTGTTAAAAAGCGAGTCATTCCAACACAGTTAGGAAACGACTGCAGTATCTTGTGTTGGCTATTTAGAACGCAACAGGGCATACTTCATCGTTGTTTACTGGAAACACGTTGATCTAAAAACAGAAATAGTTAATGATTGAGAAATAATATCTTCACATCAAACGCCTGTATTTTGAGTTTGTTTTTTACCGCCGCGCTATTTGATATTCCAGCTGGCGGCGGTCTGTAAATAATCCAATCTGGCCCAGATAATCCAGTGATCAAAAGCATGAACATAAATCTACGCAGTACGGATACGTTGGCATGCATCAACCAAGTCAGCGAGCCTGACCACCCGAACCCTTTAGTCGCCTCTTACGGGAAGCATGGAATGCCGTAGACCAATTCTTACCCAGATCGTCACTAGTGGAATCAGACATCAATCCTAAATTAAAGTAAAGGGGAGTAGCACATACGCGGAACTGATCATCATGGCAGAATAACAGTCTCAGATCAAAATTTATGAATGGACTAACTTAGAAATTCCAATAAATTCAGAGCATGGTGCAGTAGACAAGTCAAGTCAAAGTGTTTATTGTATTTAAGGCCTCTGGCCCACATACAAGGAGAATACATGATATACATAAAAGGATGAAAGGAATAAAGCTAATAAATGCTTAACAGTTCATTTCTTAAGATAAATCATGTTTTACATAGAAGGCAAGTTGGAGAATAACGTTTTCATTATTTGAGGATAAAATTGAAACAAAGGCAGTTTCGGGATATTTTGACTGATATTGCACTGGTATATATTTGGTTCTTGGATCAACATAAAATGGGCGGAAAAATGTGAAATGGATTTCATTTTCAATGGCTGAATGACATAAAGGACATAATCTTAAACATTTCTCTATTGGCAATTTTCTACCCCTATTTACGAATAGGTCTGAAAGACCAAGTAACCCAATGTACACATAAAAATTTGATTTCAAAGTTTAAGTTTAAGTGGCATACACTGATATCCATACGTGTGTCTTCATTCAATTAGTCCTTCTGCATACACAACAAGGAAACGTATTCTGATTTGCATACGTTACAAGACATTCAAAGGACATTCAGATGAGACTCACTGACACTAAACATCAGATTTCCCCAGTCACACTGTATATTAGATATACTCAGCCACAATGTATATTACCTACACACAGTCACATTGTATAGTAGTTATATTCAGTCACACTATCTAGTAGTTATATTTATATTCCACAACACTGTATATTACATGTGATGATTTGTCAACACCATGTCATTCAATCTCCAGTCAGGAGGTCGTTGTAAATGTAGTTATTTTTAATATTTACAGACAAAATGAGCACTTGATAGTGAATCAAAGGTCTATACTGAGTTACTGAAAGTGAATACTTTGATTTCATCTGGGTACCGAATACAAACATACACACAGCCACGTCCATCTACACCAACTCCGAGCGGGCACGAGACGTCATCATCTGCAGTGAGTATGTTTCTGACAAACTGTCCTGACTCAGTCAGTTGAACAACAGTACGTTGATAGTAGTCAGTAACCAGGATGTCACCTGTGTTGGTACTTGTGATACCACGTGTATCTACCAGTGGTGTATGTCCTGTTGTAGGGTAGGTGAGCACAACGTCCCCATCAGGCACAGGACACGCTTC